GACTCGGCCTCTGACGACACAAAAAGGCTGACAGTGCTGCTAAAAATGAGGAACCACTGATCAGTTTGGACATAGATAATGCTGACTTTAAGGCCACAATAACGACCGTGGCTGGCCTTCTTCAGGTTCTGCATAATCAGGATCACATGGTGCTGGGAAACGCCCTGCCTAGTTTCAGGAGCTGTAATGCTGCCAACAGGCTGGAGGGCCCCAAGGCTGGAAATCATCAGGAGGCCTTGGAGAAACAGGCTCCTGAGGAGGCATAACCTGTGCCCCCTGGCAGGGGCGTAGCTGCTGCTTCTCTGCTTTGCCTTGTGATGGTCCCAGTCTGTGACGGGTAAGACCCCTGGAGGAGGGGAACCAAAGCCAGGCATCAACCGGTATAGGCAGCAGACAAGATATCGGGGGACAAGGAGAGGGACACAAAGGCCCCCGCACCTCTCGACTTGACTTGGACACGGCCGGAGTCCTCATTGCAGCCGAAAAACAGTCTCCTCATATCTTGGTGGTTCCCTCCGCCCACCTGGCTCAGGCTTGAAACAGGGCAGGAATCAGCCCTAAATCAGGTCTGGCAGTTCCCATGGAAATCAAGCCTAAAGGTAAATTCTTCAAAGTGTGTTTTTTTTCCTTCCCTCAAAGCTCTGGCCAGCTCACGCTGAGAAGGACATTTACATTATTTACACCCCTTACCTTATTTCGTTAGGCACCTTTATGTCTACATTTAGTCTCGTTTCGTTATACTAGTCTCCTCTTGGACCCATGTAAATCAGGATATTCCTGTCACCTGTCTTCTTCAAAGCATCATATATTTTCTCTGAAACTTAACATACTAATGTAATGAGATAACCTATGCATTCTGGTTGCCTCGCCCCACTGATAAGACTTTCAATAAAAGCCTTGGAACAAAGGGCGATGGGGCCTTCTCCACTAGAGAGATGTGACACGGCCTTCTCCAGTAAGAGGGAAGTGCCCCTGTCTGCTCTCCCCACAAACAGAGAAGCGTTTGTGACAATCTGTTTATTCACCTCATCCGTGACAACCCCGGGACGGGCTCTGTGGGTTTCAGAGCCCTGCTCCCATCTCATCTGGACCAGCCATTTTCCCACAGAATGAGGGAGCACTGCACTCCCTGAGGCACGCTCCTACATCCCCCGACCCCGGGCATGGCAGTAGCTGCCCAGATGGGTGAGCTGCAACACCAGCGCGCTTCCCTGCAGTGGTGTGCCCCAACTAGCCAACGTGCAGTGCAACAACAAGGTAATGCTGAAGGCAGCTTGCTGCAGGACACTTCACTCAGCTTGGTGCAGGACACTTCACTCAGGCAGCAGTTGCTGAGGCACACCAAACCAAAAGGGGTGGATCGCCTGTTGCTTTGGACAGGCAGAGCCTTGGTTAGACACGGGAGATGCAGTTCTCAATGAAGCTGCTCACATTCTGTAGTCACTGCATGTACAAGAGCTCAGAGAGCTGCCGACGAAGGGAATGGAACCGTCGTCGCTGTTCAGGCAATCGTTGCCCACCCGAAGAGAGACCACAGTGTGGGGAAAGCTGGAGGGTGAACATTGTCGCGTTCCAGCTCTCATCTACGCAGCGCAGTTCGGAACCACGAACGCCCTGGAAGGTGTGTGGAAATCAAACCTCACACTTTCAAGGAAAGCATCCCAGAAAATGGACTATGTTGAAGAGACTGGCCAACCTTGTTTTGTTTTGTTTTTTTTAAATAAGTGTTGGCACCGTCCTTTCTTGTCTTCTTGTCTCTATGCATCCTTACATCCTCAAACTATCTCATTGGCCTCTGGGAGAGAAAAGGTAGAATCAAAGGAGAGAGAGGAACAAGTGTTTGTTTGGAGAAAAGGTAAACGTTGGTGACCGTACAGGCCTGAACGCACTACTTTCAGGGGGTGACACGAGTTTCCTGTCATCGGGGCAGGGAGCCGCTGAACATTTGCTTTAAGCGAGCTGATGACAACCCAGCCCTTTCGGTTTGGAGCACTGACCCTGTCACAGAACATAAGAAGGATGCAGCGAGAAGATATTTGAACAGCAGAGTCCAGGCAGAGAGGATAGCGCGTGTCCGGGGAAGAGTCACAGGCCTCAGAGATCCAGGCCAGAGGCTCGGCAGGATCCGTCCTTTGTGCCTCGATGGACTCCGTGCGTGGGTGTGAACCGGGCATTCTCACATCCGTGCTCCCTTCAAGGAAGAAAACCCAGGACCCAAGAGGCAAATCAAGTGGAGAGAAGGCACCGGGCAGATTGGACTGGAGGTGTCGGCTACGCAGGGACAGCGCGTTCAAGAGGGGATTGACGTACAGGCCCTGTTACTGTTCCCCATTACCTCTCTGCTGCCTGTCAGGGAGCTACAGTCCGTGGGACCTTCCTTGTGGTTGCTCACATACACAAACCCAACGCCCCCATTGGATCCTCACTGATGTGTCCAGCGCACTGGCATTGGATACACTCCCAGGCATTTCCTTTACCATCTCCATCGACAGAACTCCCGGGCAGCAACTGTCCCCATGCAGCAATCCCTCTCCCACGTCTGCCCTCCGCCCCGGCCCTGGAGCCTGTTGTGGCCTCACCTCCCACACGGCCGGCAGCTCCTCATGGGAAAGGCCCCTTCCTGAGACCCTAAGTCCCTCAGTGTCACAACAGGGAAAAGGCCGAATGGCCTGCAGGGGCCAGGCTTGCAGAGTGAGGAGTGGCCTGGGTAGGTGTGCAGGGACAGCCCGTGGGGCTGGGCACCCTGACTGCCATGCACAGCCTTACAATCCTCCCCCACTGAGCGGGTCTCAGCCTCTAAAGTTGTTGGGTGCTGCCCCCATAGAATCGGAGCTGAGGAAGGGGAACCACGCAGATTCTACTGCAGACATGCCACTCGTCAGTCCTGGAGGGGGCCCGGGGCCTCCTGGCTTTTGAAGTCTTCCCAGTCGATTCTGAGAAGACACATCTGCCTTGAAGGGCAGAGGGTAGGACAATCTTTGTCCCCATGGCTGTGGTGGTAACAGTCTGTCACCTTCCCAGAGACCGGTCTGGACAAAGTGAGAACGAAAATGTAAACGTTCCAGGACAATGTCTGCCCATAGGGGTGCTCGATGCATGTAAACGCTTCTGTATTTTTAAAATAGGAACAATAATAACAAATATCCTTTTAGATTCTCAACTGAGTCAAAACGGCCTCAAAATTACTATATGATATGAATATTACATCACAGAAAAATACAGTGCTGACAGAGGAATGACTGTGCACCTGTGTGTGTCTGTCTGTGTGTGATTGTCCATGTTTCCAGGTGTGCCTGAGTGTAACATTGGATATCCGTGTGTGCGTCCTTGAATGTAAGCTATGTCTCTGTGTATAAAGATTGACTTTAGGCTGTTAGACATAGAGGGCGCTCCACGGAGGAGGGGACGTGAAAAAGGCCGCGCAGTTGAAGTCATCGGATGTCCTGTGCGGGGCCAGTACAGAAGAAAAGGGACCACAACAAGCCACCGTGGGGAGGTGTGACCCAACGTAATGCAGGAGGAATGGTATATGGACAAGGACGGCTGAGTACAGGACCTGGGTAGCGGGAAGATGAGGGCAGAGGGGTCACGGTGGGGCAACAGGCAGGGCTTATCACAGGAAGGGCATCTCTGACCCCGGGACACTGCTTAGGGGACCCGGCCACAGCGGGTAAAGAAGAGAACTGGACTGTGACGATGTCCATGCGAATGGAAAGGGCCCGATGTTTGCGGGATGCTTGGCCGTGGAACAGGCAGGACTTACAGGACTATCAGGTGTCAGGAAGCAGATGGGCTGAGGTAGCCTCATAAAGACCCCACCACCGCCCCAGTCCACACCCTCAACTCGGGGCCTGTCGTTTGTCTTCCACGGCGCAAAGGGCTCTGCATGGGGGTGTGGTGCAGACTTTGAGTTAAGGAGATGTTCCTGAACTTGCTGGTGGCCGGTAAATACCAGCTCACGTATTGTATGTGAGGGAGGCAGGGAGAGATTTGCAAACACGAAGGAAAGGAGGTGGCAATGTCCCTTCTTGGGGCAGAGACTGGAGCGGTGTGGGGACCAGATGAGGGCTGCCATCAGCCTTCAAGGTAAAAGCAGCCAGGAACAGAGTTTCACCTCGACTTTCCAGAGCCAGGGTGGCCTTCCTGACACTGGGATTTCCTCAAGGAGTTGCAGATTTTAGACTTATATCCCCTACACCTGGAGGAGATAGCCTATGTGAAGCAAGCCACCAAGGGTGAGGTAGTGTGTTCCAGCAGCCACTGGAAACTAATCCCGGAGCCTAGGAGACACCCAGCTTTCCCATTCAGCTGCCTCATTGGACGATGAGCCCTTCAGCCTGGGCAGGACTCGGGGGAGGAGCGGGCTGGGCCCTGGCCCTGTTGGTCTGACACCTTCCTTCTGCACTGTGTGGACTGTGTGCATGGAGATGCCCGGGGGCACCCGGATGCTTGTTTCTGGGGCTTTACGAAGAATGTGAGGAACACACAGTCGCCGAGGGGTGGTCAACAATGACACTGTGCAAAGAGCAAAGAGTTGACCAAAGGTGGGGCTCCAAGAATCACAGCAAAGTCAGAGGTGGACAGAAAACAAATTGTCCAAGACCCTCCCAGCATGGAACCCCAGGGAGGGGTGAGGACCAGGCAGGCCCTTGGTGCTTCTGCCGGGGATGGAGCAGCAGTGGGGTTGCAGGTTGGGAGCCTTGTGACTGGCCAGGGAGGTGGCAGGATCTGTCAGCAAAGCCCAGGGCCAGGACCCTTGGGAGGCTTTTGACCCCTCATGCCCGTGTTCTCTTCGGGCCCATGGGGGTGGCGTCAGTGCAGGGATGCAGGATGGCACCTGAGCAAGCAGTGCCTCTGAGGGCACTCCCCTCAGGCCGCCATGGTCACTGGATGCTGCGTCTCCCGACTGTCCTGTTGACACCACCCAGTGGCCACTTCATGACGGAAACCACTCCAACTCCAGGCCACAGACCATTGGACAAAAACAAGACAGCTGGGAATTGCAGGGCAAGCACTTTACTGAAGCAAGACGTTGAAACCTTCACAGTTTCTGCGGAAGATCAGGCCATCCTTGAACGACACAGGTACTCGTGTAAGATTTTTACACTCAGTTTTTACATAAACCGAGTATCTTTTTCTGAAATACGAAAAGAAGGAAATGGGACGTCAGTGATGCAGCCCCTTGACACGACACTTTGACAGGGACTGCTGTCCACTGCAGCACATGAACGACATTGCACCAGCAAAGGCACATGGAGACTCCGAGCAGGAGAAGCGAGTGGGTGGGGAATTCAGCAGTTCTGGTCCAATTGTGACAAAGTGGGCAGGACAGAACAGGACATGTCCGGAGCCCAACAAACAGACCCCGAATGACCCAGGCGTAGGACTTGGGTTTCCAGTGGAGCCGGGAGAGGGTCAAGAGCTGGGCCAAGCAGCCCAGGGTTTCCTGCCTCTGAGTGCCAGGTCCCAGGCCTCAAACTTTTCACCGCAAAGTGGGCGCATGGTTGTAAGGCCAGGACAAAGGTGGGAGGAGGGATATGGGACATTCTCCCTGCAGGAGATGTCCTGTCTCCTGTACGGAAATTAACCTGGCAGCACAGGGACTTCTCCACACTGAGCATCCAGCTCATGGGGGAATTAGAGCAAAAATGCAAATTAATTCCAAGGGTAAACAACTGGGAAGTGATTTTAAATATCTGATTACTCCCCAAGCACATAATGGAACTGTTTCAGCTCCAAGTGAGTTTGCAGAGGACAGAACAGGGAGGGTCTGTGCCTGCTGGCCCTGATCTGTGAAGGGGTGGGGAAGTGGGGCAAAGGTACAGGGAGGGGTCTGGCTCCCAGAGAGGAGGCACAGCCCCCAGTCAACACCCCCTCTGTCTGGTACAGGGCCTGGTCAGCTCCCTCTCTCCAGTTGTCTGTCCTTCACACTCCCCACCCTCTGTGAGGTTCCCCAAAGACTGTGCCACTGGGTTAGAGGTCTCCCCTCAGACATCCGGGAAGCTCCCAGGCAGGAGGCAGCAGGCTCTGCCCTTCAGCACCACCTGCTGTGCCCTGTTTCTCCTCCTCAGAACACTTTGGGGGACACATGCCCGAGAGGTGACCTGAGAAGGAGGAACACGCTGGACAGACTATGCAGCTGTGGTCTAGCTCAGCGGACCCATGTCATCGTCCACCCTGTGGCCACCATCAGAGGGGAGGAAAGGGGCAGGTGGCTCGCTGCCCGGCACCCACAGTGCAGCACCCTGACCTCCCTCCTGGCTCTGCAACCAGGCAGGAGCCTCTGTGCAGAAAGGACAAACACTTACCACAACTTTGTACATATTGAGTCTCTCCTTGTAGGGGTACTTATCTACGCATTTCTTCACTTCTGCCATAGCCGCAGAAGGTTTTGATGGTAAACCTAACATCGTAAGTTTCATATTGTAGAAGTTGATATTATCCACAAAGAAGCTTTTAAGTTCAGAAAGTAGAGCTGGACAGGCCTTTGCATTTGCTGCAGTGGAAGGAGAAGAAATACAATTGATGTAAGGAAGTCACTTTTCCCTTGGCCCCATTACCTTGGACCCAGATAAGACCCCAGAGGTTTCATGGTCATCCCATAAATGCACCAATGACAATGCAAAATCCCACAAGTTGTGACTTGCTCAAATCACAGAGCAAGCAGCAGGGTCGTTGACTGAGTCCTGGTTCAGCTTCCATGGCTTGTAAAGGACATGCACGACGTTCCAACACTCTCCTGCCTTGCGCAAATTCACTTTCCCTAGATTTTAGAAATATAGGTCTGCCTGTCGTTTGAGTGACACTTTCTTTTGTCTTGGAAGTCGGACGGGAGGGCTTGTTAGTGATCACTCGTTCCAGTAGAGGGTGGAGTCTGCCCTCACCAGGGACCAGAGAAGGCGGCACCAGCGTGGAGAGGAGTAGAGACAACTATTCAATGTTGGAAGACGATCTTTTAAGACTAAATTAGACAGGAGAAATATGTCATTGGGTGAACACACCTAAAAAGCTTTAAAAAAGACTCTGCAGGTACCACACATCTGAGCGTGATACACAAATCATGACTGGCTCTTCTTGTCTGCAGTCGGTACAGAATTCTCTAGAGACCGTGGGAGGTGGCAGCTGGGGCTGACTTTTGGCTCCACTGAGACAGTGCTGAGACCCGAGGTAACCACTTCTCCCTGGTCTGGACTCTCCATACCCCCCACCTCCCACTCAGCCCACACGTCTTCACAACCACCTGCAGCAGGGAACTGCAAGCCTCCGACCTGACCTGACCTGACCTGACCAGACATCGACTATGAAGAGATGTAGAGAGGTCAGATCAGAGGCAACTCGGCGAAAGAAGAGGAGTTCACAAACTCAGAACACAGAGAGTGTCAGAAGCACTAGAATCAGAGTCGAGGCCAGGACGCCACTCCGTGGTGTTGTTGCACAGCCATTCCGTCCCGAACATTGCACTGGCCCTGCCCATCCTGGTCGGCCTCCCAGAAAAGGTGCAGTACGTGCGGGTGTATTCAGTGCTGCTGCTTCTGACTGACTACAGAGAGAGCCAGACAACACTGGTCTTCCTGAGCTGAGAACTCTCCTGAAACTCTTCGAGCTGGAACATTCTATGAGTCCGAATGTCGGAGTTCGAAAGCCATGGACTCGACTGGCATCAGACGCTCTGGGAAGGAACGAGACCCAGAGCTGGCCTCTGACCCACTTTTTCTCCTTCCACGGTCACAGCTGCCCTTGCTGGCAGCTGTGGACAGCAAGCATGAGAGACGAATTGGGGGGGCTGAGCATTCTCTTCAAGTCACAGCATTGCTGAGCGGCAGAACTGTGATGCACAACCAAAGTCTATCACGTTGTGCTGCTTCTGAGACATACATCCTAGACAGGGAGTGAGGCTTCAGGCAGGAAACTCTTAAAAGTGCCCCGCAAGTACTTTCTGTGAAAGCCCCAGAGTACTGAGGATTCATACAGCACCCCTCGGCATTCAGGGGGCTAGTCCACAAGTACTGTGGCATTCACACTCCTTCTCAAAGAAGTTACCTACTTCAGAGAAGGTTATTTACCTGGGATGATGGTAGCTTGATTAGAAGGGATACTCACCCTCATAGCAGAGGAGGGCCAGAGTGACCAGAAACACAGTCAGGGACAGCCTCATGGTCGATTTTGCTGTGAGCTCAGCTTTCACAAACAACGAGCAGTGAGCAGCTGGACTCAGCAGCCTGGGGGTCCCCGGGCTTTTTGTAGCCAGTGAGCCTCGCTGGTCCTGCCCACTCAGGTGTGGCAGGTCACAAGGCCTGGCTTCCAGGCCTCCTTTCCTTGCTGAGGCCTGATGCCAACCATCACGGTCAAGCACCGCTGAGTTGGTCAACAACAGGCACTGCTGGCACGGTACGTGAATCCTCTGTGCCAGAAACCAAGGCTGGATCTCACAAAGGTCTCGTCAGTTGACTGGCAGGTGCCCCTGGAATTTAGCTCTCTAATGGGAGTTATAGGAAGGAATCATCAGTGGGTTGATGGGAGCCCCCAGAGAACTTAGCTCCTTCATTTTAGGTGGCATCTGGCTCTGCTCCTGTCACAGCCCAGCGCCTGGCACAGGGCTGAGGATCAGCAACCTTTCCTAGATTGCATAGTTCGGGCGCAATTTTAGCTCAAAAGGATGTCTGTTGGGCCAAGGCCAGCTGGGGCACTTGAGGGTGTAAGGACAGCCGCATGGTGGCAATTGTGACGATATTAGTGGTACTCGGATCTCAAGAGAACAGCATGTCAAGTATGTGAGTCCCTACCCCGCTATGACCGTCTGACCCTCCCCTAATGTTTGAAATGCGGTCCAGGGAGGTTCCATCAAATCAAGCTCTGAACTGTCCTAACTGACGATCTCCTTGTCAATGAGGCAGGTCGCACCTGCTGAGTCCTCAGGGTCCCAGCAGCAGCAGTGCCCGCAGGGCCCATCCTCCTAGATCCCTAACCACAGGCATATGCCCGTGGCAGCCCAGGGACATGGGCAATACAGAGGAAAGGCATCAGGCAGCAGCCTGGGTAAAGAGAAGCAGGCTTCAGAGCCTCGCAGGAGAGACAGGATTTTGACATGAAGTGGTGCTGGGGGGAGGGATCCTGTGAAAATAGCACAAGGGAACACGAGACCCCAGGAGCCACATAGCTGGTGGGGAACACAGGAACCCGTGTGACCCCGAGAAGCTCGTGAGCAGGGGGATGGGGACAGCTCAGTGACTGGAGACATGGGCTGGGCCGAGTCCAGCAGAGGGCCCGGTGTGCCCCGGCAGCCCTGGGGGCAGAGGGGCACCCGTGGTGACACCACCCTATTTGCCCAGTGCTTTCCCCTGAGGGGCAAGAGGAGCTGTTCTCCATGCCTGGTGTGGATGCCAAGCAGTATTGCCACTCAGGAGGACAATGTGGCCTTTCCTTGTACACTAAGCATTCTGTGACCCCACGGCCCACCTCTTGTGCTCCGTGGGGACAAAGGTGCCACTGGGTGCGTGATGCTGACTGTGGGGAAGGCTGTGTATGTCCAGGAATCAGGGGTCAATGGTAATGCTCTTCACTTCCTGCTCCATTTTTCTGTGAACCTAAATCTGCTCTAATACTAGCTCTGGCTCAGGTTACTCAGTGGATTGAGTGCTGACCTGTGACGCAAAGGGTCACCAGTTCGATCTCTCGAGGGGCACGTGCCTGGATAGCGGGCCCAGACCCCGGTGTGGGTGTGTGAGAACCCACCATGCAGAGATGTTTCCCTCCCTCTCTTTTGTCCTTCCTTCACCTCTCTCTAAAAAGACAGAAAACAAAATCTTTAAAAACCAAAGGCTACCGAGGCTTTCTGCCAGGATGGCAACGGAGGCAGGCATGGCTTGCCTCTTTGCACAACCGTGTCTTAACTACCGCTACAATATACGACGAACGTCACTCCCAGCCGTCAGAAATCTAGCCGAATATAAGTCTGACAACCATGGAATTAAAGAATCCACATCCGACCAGACTAGCAAGAGGGCCACAGTCGTGGAACAGCCTGGTCTCTCGCACAGGTGTGGTAGATAAAGAACGGGAGGCACCTCTCAGCAGCGAGCTGGCCCAGCTCGACACCAGGAAGCCGGCTCAGGGTTCCAATGCCAGGAAGAGAAGTCCCCGTACATTCTGGAGGCAAAAATCAGTGGGCATTGAGGCGGTGGAAGAAACTGATGGAGCCCCAAGCAGTTCCTCTTAAAGAACCCACACATGGACTTCCTCAGACTCACTCCCGCTAAGCTCCAGTGTGGGGAAGGCAGGTGAAGGGCACCAGAGGCATACTGGGAGAGGCTCAAGTGTCTGGCTTCAGGGCAAGCAGAGGCCATTGTCCCTTCTCTGAGCCCCGCCCCCCTCCCGCTCAGAGGCATGGAGATGGCAGGCTGCTGCCATATTGCAGACTCCATCAACCTGGCTAACACTGTTCGACCCAACTTGGAGATGCCCGGAGACTCTGTCACACTCAACCCATGGGCCCATCCAAGCTGCCTTTCCATAGGAAAGGCTGATGTCGGTTCCTGTTTAATAACTTCCTAAATCCTATCCAAACGGCAACAGCTGGCCTCTATGAGCTCCCGGCCTGGCAGTAGGAACGGCCAGATCAGCTTCTCAGCTTGGCTTTGCCTGGGAATCTCCAAGCCCAGCACAAGTAGCACCTTCTCACTGCTCAATAGCTAAGGAAGGGGAGCCCTGGGCAAAACAGGGGTGGGGGCAGACCTCCGCCGGACACCACCCTGAAACCCCACGGCCCGCACACCCACTGGACAGCTACACACCACTTTGGAATACTGGCACCCTGGCCCTCCACGGATGATCCTTCAAGGAGGGTGGAGTTTGCCCATGAGTGGTCTCAGATAATCCTTGCAGCTGACTGGACTCGGTAAATCCCTCCCACTGATCTGCCACCAGCAACCAAGAATCAACTACAAGAGGAAGGGTGTACTTGGCCCACCCAAGAGCTGCACCTGGAATACCAGCTTGGGTGACAGGGGAGGCTGTGCCACCAGACACTACAGGACACCCGCCACATGAGGCCACACTACGTAGACATGGAGCCAGAACACCTCTACCTGAGACATGGAACCAAACACAAGGAGTCTGCCAAAAGGAGAAGACAAGAGACCTGGCCCAATGAAAGAACAGATCAAAACTCCTAAAGAAAATGCAGTAAACAAAATGAAGATAAGCAAGCTATCAGAGGCAGAGTTCGAAACGCTGGTGTAAAGATGCTCCAGGAAATTAGTGAGGCCCTCAGCAGCATGACATACAGTCAGTCGGAAACAAAGGGCACACTAATCGAAATAAAGAACGATATACAGGGAAACAACAGGAGAGCGGATGAAGCCGAGAAGCCAATCAACGATTTCGCACATATAAATCCCAAAAACAAGCGATCGGAACAACGAGAAGAAAAAAGAATCCGAAACAAAGGAGGGTAGTATACAGCCTTTGAGGGAACTTTAAGCATTCCAACCTTTGCATCATTAGGGGAGCCAGAAGGAGAAGAAAAATGGCACGACATTGGAAATGTATCTGAGAGAGTAATGAATGAAAACTTCCCGAGGTTGGTGAAGGAAATAGACATGCAAGTCCAGGAAACACGGAGGGCCCCAGTCAAGCTGGACCCGAAGAGAACCACACCAAGACGCATCACACTGAAAACGGGAAAGGTGAAAGACAAAGGTAGAATCTTGCAAGCAGCAAGAGAAAAGCAGAGAGTTACCTGCCAAGCAGTTCCCATAAGGCCATCAGCTATTTCTCAAGAGAAACCTTGCAGGCAAGAAGGGGATGGAAGGCATTATTCAAAGTCATGAAAGGCAAGGACCTCCAAACGAGATGACTCTATCCAGCAAAGCTAACATTTAGAATGGAAAGGCAGATAAAGTGCTTCCCAGACAAGGTAAAGCTAAAGGAGTTCATCAGCACCAAGTCATAATTACAGAGAAGGGTCATGGGGCTTATTTAAGAAGAACATCAAAACTACGTACAAGAGAAGGACAACAGACTCACAACTATCAGCAACGGAGACTAACAAATAAAGACAAAAACAAAAACAAACTCAGCAGACAAGCAGAACAGAAACAGAATCATAGGGATGGGGATCATTTGAAGGGTTATCACCTGCGGAGGGGGAGGACGGAGAATGGGGGAAACGGTGCAGGGATCCGGAAGCATAATGGGAGGAACAAAACAGACAGGGGGATGTTAAGAATACAATGGGAAAGGGACAAGCTGAAGAACGTACACTCACGACCCATGGACATGAACTTGGGGGAGGACTGCTGCACAGCAGGGGCGCACTGGGCGGAGGGGGGCAAGGGGAAAAAATTGGGACAAGTGTAACAGCATAATCAAGAAAATATGCTTTAAAAAAAGACTAGTAAAGAAAGAGGCCGACATCTTCTCAATGACTTTATATTCAAACGATGGGGGAAATCTGACAAAAAACAAATCAATGACTTGGTTGTGATAAACAGGCAGTCGATCGTCTCTCGGAGATATCTAACGTACCCCGCTGAGAAAAACCGTTAGAGCGGATGAAAGTGTGTGAAGGGGCTGGATGCAGGTGGCACCGGAGCGACACTCCTCTCCTACATCCCTGCGTCACGACGTGTGCAACAGGGACAGTGACGCCAATGGCATCGGGAAGTCTGGCAGCAGGCGAAGCACATGGGAGTTCACACAGTTCAAACAAGAAAACCCTCAAAGATAAAATCAGGAAAATTTGCACACAGTTACAGGAAGGAATCGAAAAACACCAAAGCCCATACCTTGTTCCTGATGAAAGATAAGAAAGTGTCAAGTCAACTCTTCTCAACCCATTGGAGACTTTTCCTCCCACCTACATTCGGGTCCTAGTGGGGCAGTTTGGCCCCTCGTTGCGCATTCTAGAACGCTGTTTGGATCTTTCAAAGCGAGAACGTATTCGCTTAATGAGTTGGGGGGAAGAGCCCAGGTGCAGGGCCTGACTACCTGCGTTCACGCTCAGCTCTGGATCTTTCTCCTTGTGGGGTCTTCGGCAAGGTGCTGGCACTCTTAGCCTCAGCTTCCTCATATGTAAAATAAGGGTGCTATCCTAGAATGTGTGTGAGGATAAAGAAATCAATTCAGGAAAAATGCCCAGCACAGTAACTGGCAGTAAAAGTCAGCTGTTAGAATTAGGCAAGAAAAGGGACGAGTTTAAGTCTTATG